GGGACAGCTGGCTCTGCCTATTAAGAGGCAGAGCCAGCTGTACACGCCCCCTCTCCCGTCCGATCCGCCAGTCAGCGCTGGCGGATCGGAGCGGGGAATCCAGCCCCTCCCCTGTCACGGCAGAGAGCTGTGACAGGATCGAGAAGTGAGCGAACGCCGGTATGAGCCGACCTGTGATTTGCATTTGCCTGTGAGTGTGTCCAGCCAGGTTGAGTTGAGTGAGTCTAGTGTTGGCCAGCAGTAGTGCAGGAGACTGGAAGTGGAGATACTAACTCTACAGGTAATTGTGCCCAGTTTAGCTAGCCTGTAACTGCTAGTGAGAGCAGTGTGTGTTGTCTGCAAAGCCTGTGTGCCAGTCTGCTTGAGCGCAGAGTGTACTGACTAGGAGAGTCCAGGGAAGGGTTCCCCACAAGCCTATAAATTGTGGGTGGTGCCAGCTTAGATTAGTTTATTTGTGTGTGCGTGCTGTTGCACGGCCTTTACGTCACGCCTGCAGACTGGGAGGCGTTCTGGGGGGTTCTCGCGCCGATCTGCCGGTGCGCTGGAAGATCTCCAAGGACGAGCAAAGGACGGCGATAGCCTTGTGCGGTGCGGCCTTCCCGCGTCCCTGTACCCCCTCAGCGGCCCTCCTCCGGCTGCCATACGTGACATTCTTGACTGCCTGTGTGACCGGGTTTATGACCGGTCTGAAGCAGGAAGCGCTGAGAGCACAGCACTTCCTGCTTCATTTAATCACAGAGCAGATCGGGAATGGATGTTCCTCACTCTGCTCCTGCTGTCCATCCTGACACTTATTGCCGTGATCCCAGGTCCCCTCAGAGGCAGGTACAAGTGACTGGGTGGCTCTTCAGCCACCCAGATCACTCATACGTGAAAGTTCTCTGCCTGCTGAAAAAAATGCCACAAATATCATGGCTGCAACCACTTCAAGACCAGGACCTACAGCTACGTCATATGGTCCTGAAATGGTTATTCTAGTGGAACATAAATAAGGTAACAAACACTAAAACAGTACAGTTATTGAACCCCAATTTCATTGTGCACATGACGTTGAAAGCATCAGAGGTTTGGTGGGTTATAAATGAAAAAGGCAATGTCAATGATAATTACATAGACAAGAATGATTCCCCTATTAGGGGATCCCACCATTCCTACAAACAATAATATGGATAACACCGATGTTGTAAATGTAATGTATATTTAATGAGTTTAGAAAAAGCTAAAAATAATTATCCTATAAGACACTACATTATAGACATAACATCAACGGACAAAACATGTAAACATTCAAATGACTGCATCCACTTGTTAATATATAAAGTGAGTATATGTATAAAACTTCATCCATAAAGAGACATGTCAGAAAAAAGAGGGAAAAATTGGTATATTCAGGTTTGGAGAGTGAGTTCTGAAGATGACAAATGTTCAGATGTGTGGAATATTTCCTAAATGAGTATACGAATCGCCCTCGATCGAAAAAGAGGGAACCGATTATAGCTGTATAGTAGCACAGAGAAAAGATATGATCCAGGCGGCTGCCTGGGAGACCGGTGGAATCCTTGAAACAGTGATCAGGCTGAGTGTGAAAGAATGAATATAACTCACGATCCGAAGACACTCTGTTTCAAACAGGTGACACACAGCTACCAGGAGGTGTAGATGATGCCTCGGCTAGGTACAAAGGTTGATGTGGATCATAGCCTTGACTGAATAGCTGTGTATGGTTCATCAGGTGTCTAATTTCCCGTCTCCTCACCTGAGTTGATATCCGTTTGGATGTGCTTTACTCTGTAGGATATGATTGTTAATTCGACCTTAGTAGCCAACAGGGCTCCACATAGAGATTGATGATATCCAAACCGATTTCCCGGGAGTCTTTAAAGGATGTCCTTGAGACTTTCAAAAACTGGACATGTCTCGAAGTGGAGCAGTCATAAAACAAAACCAGCTAGACGCCCAATGACGCGTTTCGCCCCTCCCACATCGGGGACAACATCAGTGTTATCCATATTATTGTTTGTAGGAATGGTGGGATCCCCTAATAGGGGAATCATTCTTGTCTATGTAATTATCTCGTAGGGGACCCACATTCCAATTAAGTAATTGAATATTTTGTGCGTGAACCTTCCCGTCTTTTTTCCCCGGTTTTCTTTTTTCAATGTCAATGATAATTTTATGTTTGAAAGTGCAGGTTAAAGAGCTGTCAGAGTCATTCTTCCTTCACTTCTTGGTGAATCCATGACCTGGAACAAGCCTTCGCAACTAAATTCAACCATTTGTTTGTTACAGGATTCCAACAGCTAGCATCTTCCTAGCATATCCTGTATTCCCATAATTACAGATTCCATCTGCATAACCTATTGAATTTAAAGCTGAGATAATACCAGGGTTAGGATTGCGTTTTAAAGATGATTACAAGTGTACACCTGTTGTGATTCATTCTCATTATTGTGATTTATTGTATTGACAGGTAGTTGAAGACACCAAAGAGAAAAGGACAGTCATTCATCAAGCTGTGAAGGGCTTGTTCCCTGGACTTGAAACTAAAACAGAAGATCGCGATGGAAAGAAGTATATCATAGCCTACCATGCAGCTGGCAAAAACGCTTTAGCAAGTAAGATCGTGCCTCAGTAATACATTATGGAGCTAGCGTGCCAGTGCAGTACTGTATCGATTCTGTTGATTATTGTTAAATTATTTAATCCTTTTATCTTTCGCTGATATTTATTTGAAGCAGCATCAAGCTGTAAAATATGGATTTAACAAGGCCTTGTGAGGAGGTTTGTACTAACTCATTTATGGTGCAATCCTAACATAGTTTGCTTATATGTGTTTCATGTAAATACTAAGGTAAGTCGGGTCACTATAAACTAATAAATTCACCTTGACAATGAGGTAATGTGCGCACATCTGCAGTAGGGAGAGTACACCTTGAGCTCCCTATTTGCATATAATATTGTACTTCAGGAAAACAATTTACATTAAAATAGTTTTGTCTTGGGCTTGTCAACTAACTGGTAAAGGCGTAGCAACCAGCAATGAATGTTAAGACATATTTTTTTTGTGGGTATGTTTGGGTGCCCTGATTGTGCTTCATCTGTAACCCCTTTATTTGCCTTCCTGCACCTCCTACAATACATAGGGGTCTGTTTGTAAATGTTTTCATATAAGATTCACAAAGATTTCCCTCAGGATCCACACATTCTGCTAATTGGATATAATTGGAAAAAATTGTGAATCCTGGGTGAAAATAGAGTATATTTTGTGTGAAAACATTTATAAATCGACCCCTCAGTGTAATCGGTTACCATCCAAATGCATGGAATGTTGCACACGTAGAGTGCAGTATATAATATATGCATGTCCTGGCATTACTACCTGGTAGTGATGTATAGACAACCACTTGATGCAGTTCTAGTATTAAGTCACTGTAAGTAGGGCAAACTTCTCACAAAAAAATTGCAATTACTTTTAAAATCGTTTTTTTTTTCCTGTGCAAATAGAGGTTGAATGTAGTGGCAGATGTAAAAGGATAGTCATAAACGTTAACCAAAAAGTTATTTATTTTAGATCCTACTACACTGTTTTGACCTCTCAATCTTTCTCTGCATCTTTACAGAGATGATGCCATAGATAATGGCTTCTCAGCATCCAAACAAAAAACAATTACTGGAAGACCTTCAGAACAAGTGTCTATTCTCAAGACCTGAGAGCATAGTTCTAGGAAACTCCCTCTTTTAGTTATTGATCTACCTCAGGAGTCTTAAGTTGGGGTATACATTGCTATATTTATTTAATTCAACCTTCAGGCTGTACAAACAAAAAACAGATTTCTCCATTCACACTGAACAGCATGGATGGACGGATCACCCTCTTTTTCCATTGTATTCGGACAGCAGCTTCCAGCTGCTGTCGGAATACCCAAACGGTGCTTGCAGCTTCCTGCTGTATCGGCTGAAATTCATGTACCCAGCTTTAGAGACATAGTTCTCTAGGTTATTTTCAGTTTAATCCAGAAAATTGTTTTTCCTGCAGAAGATCACACCACTTCTGTTATTAACAACATCTGCTACCCCAAGCAGTGCCCAATTGCATGCTAAATTGTTGCTGATTCTTCTGCAGTAGTCTGGTCCCATAAAGGCAGGGTTTTGCAGAGTCAGACTGCATTGACATGTCTGCAAATCTTATGAGCTTTCATAGTCCCAGCCTGGACCTTGGTTAATGTTAGAGCCAGGAAGGAGGAGCAAGCTGCACTTGTCTAAAATGAATAGCCATTTCTTCCGCACTTCTTTAAAAATTCTACCAACACTAGTGAAAATGTCAGGTGATTAAAAAAAACACAGGTGATATGCTTTCAGCTCAGTGGGACACACAAAATCAGCCTAGCAAATGTTTTTGAGAGTACTATAACCTTAATCCTTAAAAAGATCCAGTCACTATTTTATACCTATTAAGGTAAAGTGTTGGGTTTAGGTTAAGAGTTAAAATAAATCTTTTATGAGAAGAATATAGGAAGGCTGGCATCGCTGACAAATTCTAGTCTGGCTATTCTATTGACCCACTGGCTTTATTCAATACCTGCACACTGGCCGAAAACATGTGCATGTGTAAGAAAAGTCACAAGTCCTTTTCTGCATGCTTGATCTTTATTCAAGGCTTTGAAGTAACAAGGCCTGGTATCTCTTAAGGTCCCCACACACCTTACGATAATCGTACGATAATCGCGGGAAATCCCGCAATCGTACGATTATCGTAAGGTGTGTGGAAGCCGTGCGACCTCTACTACTGTAAGGTCGCATGACTTTAAACTTACGGACATGTTCGAAAACCCGCCGAGCATCGTACGATGTTCGGCGGGTTTGTGGCATGTCTGTACGATAACAGCCGTACGGGCCAGTGTGCGCAAGCGCACACTGCCCGTTCGGCATTGCGGTCATCGGAAGCCCGCCCCTCAGGGGGCGTGGTTTGCGATCATCGCAAGTACGATCTGCCTATGCAAGATAGGCAGATCGTACGTTTTTCTAAGTACCTTACAACCATCGCAAGACAAAAGTCTTGCGATGGTTGTAAAGGGGTGTGCCCAGCCTTATTTGAAGAATGAGGAGCCTCCTTCGTTTTAGGGGTTAGGTTGAGAGTAAGGATAGGTTAAATGTCATGCACATTTTATTTGACACGGTCTAATTTTTGTGTGTTTTTGAGCTCACCTCAAGAAGTACTGGCACATATCATTATCCCTCCACTTCTGATGCTCCTATCCTGCAAATACACAATTTTGAACACAGAAACATGTGTTTGTTAGTCTAGCTAACCTCCCTAGATATGGCCACAAGAGGAAAATTGACTCCAGATTGAACAGGATAGTGGAAATGGTAGGCCGAGAGCCAAGGAAAACTTCCAAAAATATACAAGCTGGTCTGTAAGGTTAAGGGTACATCAGTGTCTGATCACACCATCTGTTGCTTTTTGATTTGACATTGGGCTCAAAGAAGAAGACCGGGGATGTCTCCACTGTTGAAATAGGAACATAAAAAGCCAGACTGCTATTGGTTAATAATGCATATTGACAAGCCATAATGCTTCTGGGAGACTGTCCTTTTAGACATTAGCAAAAGCTGGAGCTTTTTGGCTTCAGTTGGACTGTTCTAAAGTTACTTTTTAAGAGTCCAGATCTGAATTCTATTAAACATCTATGGAGAGAGCTGAAACATACAGTCTGGCGAAGGCACCCTTTAAACCTAAAGCAGCTGGAGCAATTTACTCAAGAAGAGCTGGCCAAATTACCTATTGTCATTTGCAGGTGTCTCACTGAGAGCCACAGAAATTGATTGTTTGCAGCGATTGCCTCTCTTGTGCAACAAAATATTAGGTTAAGGGTCCCATAATTTTTGTCAGTAATTTTAATTTTTTTTATTACTTAAAATATATTTTGTTGAACAAAAAGCAAAGTCTACTTTTCTTAAGTGGGGAATGCAATGAGGGATGCCAATTACATTGATCATTCTGGCCATTTGAAACCCCTACATTCAGCAGCTGGTCTGAGTACCCAAGGTTTTTATCTTGTGTTCTCAGTTAAGCTGCCTCTGTTAAGCAGTGCAGCATGTCGGATCCCAAGCACAAGGGGAGCAGTCCTGCTGCATTGGGTCTCTTCAGCACACATTCCGCTAACAGTTTCGCAACAGCTTGTATTGATCCTTGCCATGGACTTGACACTGACAGCCTGAATCGGTGTCCCCTGCTTAAATGAATACACTGAATTGGCTCCATCAGGTGTCGTCCCCTTCTCTCTGTCTTACACAGGGAGGAGTTCTACACCGCTATGCTTGATTTTATGGGCAAAATTGAAACTATGATGACACAGAGGCCGTAAGCATACTGCTACACCACCTTTTTCTGAACCTTTGTCATATATACCTGCAGCCTTAGAGCCTTCTGTTGGTGAGGATCTGTGTAACAGAGTCTTACAAATCCTTGATGGATAAATATGTTCATTACCAGCCTCAGGCAACTGCTGTAGCTCTAAGGCTTTAAAGATACCATTTAGGTTCTTATTGATGCAGTGCACGCCACCTAGTTCCATAAAAGCATGGAAATCTGCCTCCTGTAAGGCTTACCATCGCAGATAGAAAATTTTCCATGGGAAGACTCTTAACTTTTCTACAAACAATTTGACTCTATGGGAGATACATTTCCCTTTTTCTAATCCCACAAGGTTACGTTCCTAGTCATCGCCCCTGCAAGGTATGTGCTTGAACTAGCAACCTTGTCCTGGTAAAGAAACCTATTTGGTCTTACAAAGGGACAATGTGGTATTGAGGCATAGAGCCTCCTTCCAAAGTGTTTTTTGCTCTTTTAACTCAACCTGGACTTTGTTCTTCCCTTCCTCTGTACTAGTCCAGTGCATCAGAAGGAAATGTCACTGCCTGGATGTAGTTCATGCTTTGCGGATTTACCTCTCAGCCACTGCTTCAATTAGAAAGACTGACTCTTTTTTTTTTTTTTCTTTCTCCATAAGGAGGAACCAGCTTCCCGCTTACCATTCCTCATTTCTATGTATACATTCTCTAAGGTTTTTTACAAGGTGGCTGTGAGAACCTCTTCTGATGCCAGCTTCCGTTCAAGGTCCTACAGGCAGCTCTTTAATCTGCAGGCTTTTGATTTTTGGGGATGAGTGTTTTTCACTCACCCCATAAATCTCCTTTTTAAGGGACACAGGTCCCACCCCTCTGTGTTTGCCATCTACTGCTAAAACTGCTTTTCTACTGGGTTCTACTGTTGCCTCCTGTAGACATCAGTATAACCCAATTGTCTCTGAATAACTAACTGAATCCTTTGTCCCTTCATAAACTCCAAGAAAAAAAGATTTATGGCAAGTACAAAAATCCTGTTAATCTCCCTTTTACGTTTTGTCCTGTATGATGTTATCCATTTGTGTGTGTACAGTTTTTAGGTTTGAGCTCTATAAATAAAAGGCTTTTTTTTCAGCAAAGGACAAGGAGATACAGGTCATCCTGATCTCTGTAAAAAATAAAGAAACCGTATATTCATGCAGTAGTTCAAATTTATCAGAGTAAAATTAATTCTTCCTTAAAATGTTAGAAAAATATGTAGTAAACCTATTAATTCCCTTTTAATTACTATAGGTGCACCAAAAGGTCCCTGTAAAGGTTGCTTCAAAAATATTCTATGACACTGTAAATATGCAGGTGAATACAGCTACTGTAGTTTGAGTTACATTTCTCAAAGTATGGTACTCTATCAAAACTACCTTTTTTTTTTTTTTTCCTGTATTTTTATGTTAATTACTCAAATCTTGAGTTGAAGTATACGTGTGGCCGGACCATGGGAATTCAATTATTTACATGTTCTCAATAAGCAAATTGGTTTAAAGCAAGCTATCATTGACCTATATACCTGCAGGCTCTTTGGGGAAATGTAATCTTCAAAGGTCACAACAGGGACACCGAAGTTGCAGTTCCTCTACCCTTCTTTCATTGGTAACAGGAAATGGCAGCCTGCCAGTTTTCTGATGCAAACATTGTTAGAAACTGACTTCAGCTACAGAGGTCAGTGAGGGCTTGTTAGGAATAATATGTATATATTTGAATGTCTGTAGTCTGGGCACAGATGCATTTTAAGCAGTATTATTGATTTACCAGCATTTTCCCCCCATCATATACCTATTCTAGACTTCTAGATATTTAGCTTAATTTGTGACTCTTTGAGTTTTAGTACAAGCTTGTCCTGCAGCACATCAGTTAAATTTGCCCTGCTATTGCTTAGTATTGCAATCAGCAAGGCCCTAGAAATGAATGACGTGACTTCTGCATGCCTAAAGCATGGCATGTTTTGCATGCATTTAAATAGTGGTGCATTTTCTCTGAAATGTCATCATTGTTTCTCATTTATTGATTAAATCATCCCTAAAGAGTTGTAGAAGTATTGCATTGTGCTATGCATGTCTTCTACGCAATGTTTTTGTACTAACTGACGATGACAGCTTGGCTTATTATTGTTCTACCATAGATTGGTTTTCAAAGGAATATAAAACGCAATATTAAATTTGGCTATGTTAATGAAATGAGTCGTTGATTAAATTTAAAGGGCTAACATTTAGAGGATGGATCATTTTTAAACTCCATTCTGTGTAAATATTTACAGAAATGGTCAAGATGACCATTTTCTTTCCTTTTAATCTTTTTTTGTTTTGTTTGCGCTGTAAAAATTATTAAGATAATACAGATTTTTTTTAAAAATATATTGTAAAGCCCTGAGAAACTAAAGGAAAATAGTCAGTGTAACCAATCAGATGACACATTTCTTTTTAGGAGCAGTGGAAAATTTTTTAGGCACCAGATGACTGTCCAATAAACAAAAAGATTGTAA